GAAGTTCATTGGAGGATCCATTGACCTGTTACTCTTCATGGACCCATAGCTGTGTACAGGAGAGCCTGATCTCTTCTGTTGCATCCTACTGAAAGTGCACAGAAAGAAATGGGTATACCTTCAAGTAGACATAATAATCTTTATTTTTGTTTATTCCTTCCTTCACGCGTGTAATTAGGCTTACAGAAGCGGAATTATTTGTGGAAAAAGCTAACAAGAAAATGAAGTAAAACAGGAAGCTTATTTATTCACCTTAGTTAAATATAAAAGCACTGAACTGACCTTTCATCAAATGGAGTGTCTCCTTTCCTGAAGTTCATTGGAGGATCCATTGACCAGTTACTCTTCATGGACACACAGCTGGATACAGGAGAGCTTGATCTGTCCTGCTGTATCCTATAACAGGCCACATCAGCATATCAATGTACCATAACTAATGTGAGACATTTTGATTTTTTGTAGTTTGTATGCTCTCCCCATGTCACCTAACTGGTGTCTTTAAACTGGGCAAAGACTATGACTATGTACAGGTCTGTGCCCTGTGATAGACTGGCATCTCATGCAGGGTGTACCCAGGATGTACCCCAGCCGTGTGCCCTGTGATAGACAACACATTGCGTCTATTGATTTCCCCTGGATGCCAAAGTGGCAAAAAATCCACTCCTTAGTTATTAGGGCTATCAAAGTTAACTCTCTAACATGTGCAATTCATTTTAAAATAATTACACGCTAGTATTTTTTAATCGTTTTAACGCAGACTTGCACAGCCTACTGTGGAGCCCCATTTAAGGTCAGGACAGTGTGTTTATTGTTTATTGTTTTCTGTACCACATTGCACATTTGTTCCTGTCATGATTTGGGACTTCTGAGGTTACTGTGCACTTCTGTATAATTTTCACCGGAAGCCCAATTTGGACAATAAATGTGCGAGAAAACTCGTTTTATGCTGTTGACATTCAACAATTGATAATATCAGAATACAAGAAATCGGCAAATCCTTTATTAACAAAATTAAGTCCTTTGCATTTTATCACTCATTACATGATACATTACAAATGAATTTGTTAAATTGTGTATTTCACTCCACCATTGGGAAAAGCAGGCATGTAAAACACTGGATTCTTCAAATTTCGTCTTTAAAGGTACTCATATGTAGATTAAGAAACATACATACATATAAACATGTCTGTTCTGTTCTTCAGTTAAATTTTTAAAATACAAATTACATGGAAATTTTGGTCTAAAATCCATGTGTAGATTACAAAGTATCATTTTGACCATGTGTTTTATCCACAAATGCAAACTTGTAGAATATAATGCTTCCTGACTGCACTGAAAAATGAACTGTAATTATTGTTCAAATTCTTTAAGTATAAATGGTGAAGGAATGCAGAGTGATTCTCTGTTGCTATTAATATAATGTAACCTCTAGCTACAGTTTATTTTCCTCTGCTTCCCTGTTATTTCACTTTTTAAATTTGCACTGTAACTTGTTCAGCCTTTTCTCTTCTTTCCCTTAAACAGATAGTTATAGTACTTACTTTCGTGTTGTTAAATTTTGTAATTTATTTACGGTCCTCAAAGGCCGAGCACTGCTGATTTTCCAGCCTCCCTTTACCTGTGAGCCGGGTATGAAGCCCCTCTGACCAATCAGAATCAGTAATTATTAAACTAACTGCCTGGGAGAACTGAAAACAAGGCCTGGATTTGGAATCAAGGTCCAGATTTGAAGAGCCCTGATTTAAAGCGCGTACAAAGTCAAGCCTGTTATAGATTGTCTATCAGGGAAAATCATTTTACCCTCTTTTTGTACATGCACAATTTCACACACAACACAGGTTTATTGGACAGACATCTTAGTACAATTTACACACATTGGCCTCTCAACACAAACAGGCTGCTTCTCCAAACAGTGAATCATGTGGTTCAGCTCAGTATATTCAGGATGCAAACTTTGTGAAGAAGTTCAGTTGCTGTGTGGCTGAGCTCGAGAAAGTTCTTTCACTCATACATTCATCTTCTATTCTGCCTATATGAGGTTGTGGGGGTTGGAGCCTGTTTCTCTCTTCATCAATATCTCTCTGTCTCTCTCTCACACGCAAGTGGGACGTGGTGAGTGTGAGGGCTGGAAGCCATCTGCGGCTAAATTGGACTTTTCAATTGTTTGCTTTTCTCCGTGTTGTATCATTGTATGTTTGTGTAACATCTCCTTATTTGGTAAGGTTGTATTAGTATTTAGCATTTTGCTGGCAAGGAAGATGACCCAGAGAACAATGAGTTTTGAGAACTTAACACAGCAGCACGGTGTTAAGGTGGAGGCTGGAGTCAGTGTGGAGGAGTGCAATCTGGCAGTAGGGAACATGGTGGGGCATGAAAACAATCTGTCGGCTTTTTGGATGAAAAATGGATTAGTTGTAGTTCTAAACAGTATTGAAAAGGCAAATGGCGTAATTCAAAGCAGTATTGTAATTCAAGGTTTGTTTACTTTGAGGCTTCCCCTAAGTAGAATAATACTGACAAATGCTCCTCCTTTTATTCAGTTACTGTCACATTACAAGCTGGAATTAAACGGGATTGGGGAGTTAACGCCATTTGATTTACGCAACATGCCTGCCTCTTTAATGGTGCAAAATGATTTTTATTGTGACACAAACAATAATTAAGATGAAAAAACAGAAATCTTGATTGCGCATAGGTATGCACTTCCATTGTTTTGAAACCTCTAAATAACAGCTGGTCCAACCAAATAACTTTGTAAGTCATAATTAGTTGATTAATATCTACCTGTGTGCAATCACATTGTAACATGGTCTGTCACATGATGTCTGTATAAATCCACCTGTTCTGAAAGGACCCAGACTCTGCAGCACTACTAAGCAGGCAACCTGAAGACCAAGGAGCACTCCAAACTGGTCAGGGACAAAATTGTAGAGAAGTATAGATCAGGTTTAGATTATAAAAATCCCAAACTTTCAATAGATTAGATTAGATTAGATTAGATTAGATAGTACTTTATTAATCCCTCGGGAAGGTTCCTCAGGGAAATATCCCATGGAGCACCATTAAATCCATTACAGCAAAATGGAAAGAATATGGCAGCACCACAGACCTGACAATAGAAGGCTGCCCACCATAACTCAGACGGGGTAAGGAGGGCATTAATCAGAGATGCAACAAAGAACCAAAGATAACGCTGAAGGAGCTGCAGAGATTCACAGTGGAGATGGGAGTATCTGTCCATAGGACCACTTTAAGGCGTACAGTCCACGGAGCGGGGCTGTGTGGGAGAGTGGCCAGAAAACAGCCATTATTTAAAGAAAAATAAGAAAACCCGTTTGGAGTTTGCTCAACACAATGTGGCAGACTCCCCAAATACATGGAAGAAGATACTTTGGTCAGATGATACTAAAACTGAATTTTTTGGCCATTGTGGGAAACACTATGTGTGGTGCAAACCCAACACTTCCCATCACCCTAGGAACACCATTCCCACAGTGAAGCATGGTGGTAGCAGCATGAAGCAGTGGGGATGATTCTCATCTGCAGGGACAGGAAAGCTGGTCAGGATTGAAGGAAAGATGGACGGCACTGAATACAGGGTAATTCTTGAGGAAAACCTGTTTGAGTTGGCCAGAGATTTGATACTGGGATGAAGGTTCACATTCCAGCAGGACAATGACCCTAAACATACTGCTAAAGTTACACTGGAGTGGTTTGAAGGGAAACACTTAAATGTCTTGGAATGGCCTAGTCAAAGCCCAGACCTCAATACAACTGAGAATCCATGGCATAACTTGAAGACTGCTATACACCAACGCAACCCATCTAATTTGAAGCAGTTGGAGCAGTTTTGCCTTGAAGAATGGGCAAAATCCCAGTAGCTAGACATGCTAAGCTAATAAAGGCATATCCTAAGAGAATTGCAGCCTGGAATTGCAGCAAAATGTGGCTCTACAAAGAATTGAATTTGGGGGGTGAATACCTACACACACTCAAGATATCTATTTTTTTTTTTATCTTAATTATTGTTGGTGTTACAATGAAAAAATAAATACCACCATTAAAGTAGTAGACATGTTGTGTAATTCAAATGGCAATACGCTCCCAGAAATCCATTTTAATTCCAGTTTGTAATGTGACAAAACAGTACAAACACCAAAGGGGATGAATACTTTTGCAAGGCACTGTAATAGATGAGTGTAGTGCACAGGAACTGTTGCACAATGGCAAACTGGTTTCCCCAATGAAATGCCTTTTATATCTGGGGTGTAAATCACTGCTGATAAAGCACCTTGTCTCATTTAGGAGATAAGTACAGTATATATGGTTCTAATTTGAGGTAGATGAGCTTGATTTAGAGTTTGAGCTGGGTTCGATTTTATGATTTTTGTGACATCTGAGAGCAGAATGAAGTGCTTCAGATGTACTGTAGAAGAATGGCACATCTCATCCATACTTGTCCAGGAAAAACAGGACAGACTGTTGTTTATGGTGAGTGCGGTAGTCGAGGGGCCGGTGCCCGCTGAGGGTGGCTGTAGTGTGGGTGATCTCGCTTTGGCCGTGGGGCCGTCGTGGCTGGGCCTGCTGCAGATGGCTCTGCTATGACTCAGCCCATAGGAGGAGAATCTGTGTCAGTGCCGATTCTGCATGAGTCTGGTGTGGATAATAAGGCTACTGAAGCAGAGCTTGGTTTGGACACAGGTGATAAGCAGGTATTGTAATATATACATGCCCCCCCATACACACACACACACACACACACACACACACACAATCCTCTCACCTCTCTGCTTCCCTGTCATTCCCAGAAAGACTCATTTCCGAGTCAGTGCTCCTCTTCACCAAAGCCAATACAAATATCCTGCGCATATAAAAACCACAAACTTGGTCCAACAAAAAATATCACATGTAGAATTATTAAACAAATAACAGGTTTCGTAGCCCCCTTTACTGCACCGTAAGCGTTAAGTGCCGGCTGTCGAGAGCTTGTTTTCTGACGTCGATTCTGATTTATTAATTTTCTTAGCAACAGTTTTTCAACGAGTCTGTATGTCGCGTAAGTAGGAGTCATTACAGAGCTCGTAATTGATCATAAACGCCATGAATAAAAAGGCGTGTTTCAGTTTGCTTTTCCCATAGAAAGAGAAAATAAATTAAAGGTTCAATCATCAGAATACTAACAAGGAAAGAGTACAGAATTAAGTAGTTAAAGCGACTTGGCGATTTAACTAAAATACCATCCGTCTGATAACATCGCATATTCACCACACATTTAAATACGATTTCGGACCAAAATTCTAAAGAAACACTTCAATAATAATAATAATGGATCCATTTCGGCAATCGTTATAAACAGTCGAACTACTTCCAGATGAGATTATTCTTATTGTTTATTCCACTATTTTTAACACATTATGACTTAATTTGTTGATTTAATAGTCATTCGTAATTACTTACTGCGTGTTCAGTCAATTCTTTCTTAATGTTACACTATCTGTTACATAAAACGGCAACCTGTGGTAAGAAAATCTTCACTTTCGTTTTTACCCTTGACGCTCCTGTTGACAAGTTATGTTGACACGATGGGTGGAAATTGCAGAGACGTCTTTGGTGTTTTTACACTTAAGTCGCTGTTGATTGGTTAATGAATAATGCATTATTTCGCAAACCAGTGTGTAGCACATTATTTGAAACTTTGGCCACACTTAACAAATAGTATGTCCCCATTATAATGTCTCATCCAGAACTGTGTTTTGTAGTAACTTATAAGTACACAACGTGTACTTTTGAAGACTCGTATGGGAACTATGCAAGGCACTGGATTTTCAACAAAACAAGCCTGCAAATATTTCACAATAAAAGGAAATGAAGAGATTCTTTCCACAGAAAAACTAGAGGACTTTTAATTTGAAATGGATACAGGCTGCATTAAGTTTATATTAAAAGCATAATGCAGTAACAAACATTTACCAGGGCAAACGGTAACAGATCAGAAAACAAGCAGGCTTCATACTAAAAAAAGTTAATTAAACTAAACAAAGTGAATTAGAAATAATGTCCTGGTACCTTCTGCAGTATTCGGTAATCAAAGGCCCCGGCCACTATTACTCCTTTTCCACCAAGGTAGTTCTAGGGCTGGTTCAGAGCTCTTACCTAATCTCAAACTAGATCTTAATATTTAGCTCTTCACTCGGAAAACTGGTCCAGGACTCTTAGCTGGTCAAGACCCAGGAACCAGTTACGTCAGGGGCTGGGGGTGGGATTATACTGACCAACAAAACCAACTAAACCTTTATCACTTTTACAGCTACAGCTGTTTAGCAAACTACTAATTACTGTCACTAAAGTAATAGTAACAATGTATAAAATACAGACAATTAAACATTCACTGGGATGGAATATCTACCTCTAATAAGGGTTTGTGAATTGATTCTCACACCATACTGAAACAAACTAAAAATTATGGCCATTTGGAACATGTGAAATCTTTACATTTAAATCTAAATATAAAAATGTCAACCAAAATGCTAATTATGAATATAGGCCTAAATTATGCACAATTTGTAGTTATGAACTTCAACATAAAAAACACCAATAGTCATTTAAACATTATTTTGACAACAGACAAGTTACACTGTCATATGACAACTGTAGTTATGGATGTATAGAGCTGTGGCGATTACTCAATTATTAAAAGGCTAGTGCTGTCAAACGATTAAAATTTTTAATCAGATTAATCACAGGGTTGCTGAGGATTAATTTTGATTAATCACGATTAAATATCATTCATTTTAATCTATATTAATCGCATTTCATTTTGCATGAGCAAACAGACTCAAGAAAAAAGGGAATATATATGCACTTAACATGTTTATTGAACATCTTGAACACAAGTCTTATGCATTCCATCTGCCACAGAACTGCAATACCATGGACCCATATCAAAAAGCAAGATTTTTTGCTTAGCCCTGACAACTTGTCGGATTTAAGGTACCTCAGTTTAAATGGTCTTTATCTTCGTTCACTTAGCCCAAACTACCGTAAATCCGACAAATAATCCGACTAATCATGAAATCCAATTCTAGCCTGGTTAATTTCCATTGTTATCGATATCAGTTGATAACAAATTACAGATGGGATTTTGAGTCATTCTGCGCTGCAAATGGGTTAATTGTGTTAAAAATTTTAATCAGATTAATCATGATGATGGATTAATCCGCGTTAACCCGTTAATTTTGACAGCCCTACTGTGTAGATAACTTTCACAAATGTCAGATAAAGGCATGATTACAGTAATAAGAGTCTTAGCGACTTGCATTGTGATAAGACCACTTTGAGGGTATGACATGGTATACATTATGTAGAGATTTACAACCGACGTGCAGTTTCTGTAAAATTGATTTTACATGTCAGTAACTTTCCTCCCGCTAATTATAATGCAATTCTGAGGGAATATTCGTCTAATGTCATGCCTGTCCCACTGTGGGACATGCTTGCTGAGTTTGCCGGCAATTTATGCTCATTCTCGTTGGGGGTGGGGGGGTTGGTGCGTGTGCCTTGGTGGGTATGGGCTCTATGCCCATGAACCAGAGCATGTGAGCGGAGCGGAGCGGAGCGTGACCGAGGAGTCAGAGCGCGGAGCGGTTTTTTTAATTAAGGCTGGAGCGGTCGCTCTGTCTCACTTAAATTTCGCTTCGATACCGCTCACACTACGATTCTGAGGCGTGCCCAAATCTACCCAGAATTCATCTGTACAGTTATCAAGACTATTACAGAAATTGGCCGAGATGGAATTCGCAAAGTATTTCACAAAGGAAACTGATAGATCATACAAGTGTAATATTCTTATCAAACGTATATAGATGACAATTATAATGTAGAGCAAGAATAACAAGGTGGTGAAACTGTTTCAGTGAGTAAAGATTCACTTTGGAATCATTTTTCTCAGAAACAACGAGAGTGTTTATGCGAACAGACGGAAGCCAGAGCAAAACGTGAGCAAGTTTTATATTGTTGTAGTAGCCTATATCAAGTCTATAAATTAAAGTATAAAAGCCTATATTGGTAAATATTGGTAATCAAATAAATTCGTTTTGTCATTCAAAGAAGGTCTAATAGGATTTTTTAAATTTCACGTAACGCTGTTAGTGAAATTTTATTTTATAGAGATGCAGCAGCAGCATCAACAGAAAAGATTGAGGAATTTAAAACGTAGATGCTTAGCCTGTATATTCCTTAGACTATTAAGACCATTGATTCCTTTATTTTTATGCCTATTTTTGTGTGGAATGCCATTGCCAAACGTGTCCGTTGTTGTCTATATATGTTGCTTAAAAATAAATATTTTCTGAGNGCAGATTATTTGCAGATTATTTGTCCCTCTTTTAAATTGGAGCGAGCGCGGAGCGATTTCACTGGAGCGGGAGGAAATTTTAGTGGAGCGAGCAGCGGTGTTGAGCGGAGCGGCGTAGTGCGAATTAGAGCGGAGGAGCGGGCGGAGCCAACAGCCTAGTGAGCGAGGAGCGGAAATTCTCACCGCTCCACTCTGCTCACATGCTCTGCCATGAACGGAAGGTTGGAATCCAACGGGAGCCGTACAGTCAAATCCCAGGGGCAGCAGTGTTTCTCCAAAGCCCTTAGCCCCCAGCCCCAGGAGCACTGCATGCTGGCTGACTCTGCACTGCGACCCCCAGCTGTCCCCTATCTGTATATCATGTGTCTGTGTGACTCATGGAGAGCAAGATGGGAATTCCTAGCCTGAATGAATAAAGTATGGCTACTATTCTCTCCTCAAATGTCGTGCACATGTGTGAGAGCTTGTGTCACGAAGGCAGCTGTGGACCCTGCTCCCTCACGTCCACCATCAGGTGCCGATGTGGCTTCAGGACTAAGGTGAGCTGGCGATGCCGGCAGAGTGCAGAGAAGCGGGGCGGCCCTCATTCTGCGGGTCGCGGTTTGGTTGCCAGGCTGTATGCAGTCTGAGTACCTCTGTAGTGAAAATGCTTTATTTTGTTTTTTAGGAAGTTCCCTGTCTGACGATCCAGAGTGAAGGTGAGTGTTCAGCGTCTGATGCCTTTAGCTGACCTGAGGGTGTCACAGAGATTCAGGATGGGGGGGGGGTTCTGCTCTCTGTTCAGTAAATGGCCCTGAGGTCTAAGGGAGTCTCTTCTGCTGTGTTAATGTTGTGTCCAGGATCATATGCAGGGACCAAAGGGGCACTGGCCCCAGCTGAGAGCTGATTGGTCCCTGGAGAGCTCCCTCTACATCACTTACTGATTCAAAACATGTCATTGGCCGCTCTGTGAATAATAGCCCCTCTGATGTCCCCCACCTTAAAAACATCTTAGACGAGCTAACCTGCCACTGTGTCGTGTACCTGCCCATCCCCTGCGGCACCAAGCCTCCCGAATGCAAGAACCCATGTGCCAGGATGCATGAGTGCGAGCACCCAGGTGGGAGCCAGCGCCCCCTTGTGGCCCACATGCAGTCTTCCATCTAATCATGCTGTTTATTGGTGTTTGTAAGTGGAGATGCTGTACTGGGTTATTAACTAGGTTATTGCTGTCTTCTGCCCTCTAGTGCTTTACAACTGCCATAACAAATTAGTTATCAACTGTGAGCCAAATGTCACATTTTTGAAAGACTTTTCTCAAATCCTAGAAAATGTATTATGGGAGATAACATTGTTGCCTCACACCACTGGGACCAGGGTTCGAGTCTCCTCCAATGCTCCATGTGTGTGGAATCTTCATACTCTCCTTATGTCATCATGGGGTTTCCTCCAGGTACTCCAGTTTCCCCCCACAGTCCAGAAACACACTGAGGTTAATCCAATAAAACTGGAAAGTGCTTTTTTCTCTCTCTCCCCTACTGTGATCCTTTGCCCATGGTGGAAAGGCAGGCAGGGAGCACCCTTGGTGTCATTCCATCACAGGGTACATGGGTCCACATACACAAACTGTAACATCACTAAGGACCATTGTGAGAAACCAGATCACCTGCAGGGCATGTCTTTGCACTATGCCTGGAAACCTGCATGCATGCAGGACACTCAGCTGGCGACAGGAATCCCCCACAGCCTGGGGGGTATGGGGCTGCAGTCATCATGTCATATCCACCCAATCAGGAAGACGACAGGCTAGATCTGACTTTGATTATATCAGAGGCATTCACACCTGTCATAATAACATTGTCTATTATTGTAATGATGCTGTATTGAGGGAAAAGGGAACTTACAATCTTCCGGTTAAGTGTATTGCTTGTCTGTGTGTCATATTGTGTTGGTTTATATTATGTAAAAAAATGTGAGGTTTTTTAATTGTGGACACAGAATACATATGCTATTGGGACTGCCAGCAGTGCCCCAGGATAACTGAAAAAGTACTTGATGGTCCTTTATCAAAAAAAGCAGACACATCCTGTGGGTGAAGATCTGGAACTTCTCAAATTTTGAGACAAATGGATTCAAAACTGAAGCAGCACCACATAGAGGCAACACATGAAAGAACAGATACAGGTGCAGATCTGGGGAGCCTGAGGCAGGGAACAACCCAGGACAGGGGGCCAGCCCATCACAGGGCACACTTACATTCAGACAAATCACACAAAATTGGG